ATGTAATTTTAATATGTGTTGGACCGCTAGTTATATTAAATTTCGTATTGTGGACTAGACTGTGCATTATACTGCAAAGTCCACTAATAATAAGACAAAATCATGCAATAAAAAAAAAATTCATATTGGTCATTAAATTCAGCAATCTCGTGTTTGAAGGGGCACGTCAAAGTACTTGCGTTCCTTTCACTTCAGCCAATCTCGATTCAGATATACTCAATGTTCAAAGTTTTTGAGTTAGTTTGACTAAGAAAACAAAGGCTACATATATATGTGTGTGTGTAAAAGGAAAAATAAATGAACTTGAATGACGATTTCCACCAAAAGGGAAAAAAAAAGGGTTGGATAGATCATATATGCTCAACGTTTGAAAGGAACAGTCATGGATAAAATATCCTTTGGACAGTGAAATAAAATTTGAAAATGATTAAAAAGAAAGCTATTGGAAATAATTATTTTGCGTGCACTTTAACTTTCTCTCAATTTTTAATTTGGTAACCATACTGTTTCATTTTTATATTAAATCCTTTAATTTTACTCTATTAGCACTATAAGTCCTGGATCTTGGCTTTGTTAGCATCATCAGCATTTTTTGTAAGAGCTAATAATGCTAACAGAACAAATTTAAAGGATTTAATAGAGAGTGAAAAAAGTGTAGATACCAAGTTAAAAAATAAAAGAAAGCATAGGTACTTATAAAATGGTTTTCCCAAGCTATTACGAGAATCTTTTGATTAAACCATAAAAGTAAATCATATATGTTAACCAATTGGATTAAAACTTACTTAATGCCCTAATTGCTAAATGAAGACATTAAAATTTATTTGATGTTCTAATTGCTAATTATTAATGTCCCCTCATTGCTCCTACCCGGCCCATTTCATGGTTGGAAAATTAGATATATTAATTATTGGTCAAAACAGGGAGGCTATGCGATGAAAATTTCACCATAGCATTAAAAACTTCTTTTGAAAATAAACAATAATTTAGTCTATACGCTTATGTTGAGGAATCTCGAGGTCATTGTCAAAGAATATTATGAAAGAAGACTAGGATACAAGTCTTATAATTCACAAACTCATTTCTCAATTTTAAAATCTCAGTACAGAAATGAAAATTTTTTCACTATACTTTTAGATACTTGCTTTGCCGGTTTGCCCTTTTTTGTGTCCATAATATATGAATATTGAATAGTGAGAAATATTCAAATGGAAACAAAAATTTTGGGCCCCTTGGTTTTGGCCTTTTAGTGAAAAAAAAAGGTCATTTGAAGAAAATAAGTACTTTTTAATAGCTTCTAATTATTTTAAGTACTTTCGAAGTAAAGCAAAAATGTTTTCGTTATAAACCTATGAAAACGTAAGAGAGACTTAAGACGAGAGAGATGAATAGTCCAAGCTCATTGCCCAGACCAAAAGGGAATGAAAACCGGTGGTCCATATTCAAAGGCTCTAGCTAATTCACACAAATAAAAAAATCAAGTAAATTAACTATCCCTCTTTTATTATTTATATTAAAGTATTATCAACATAATTTATATCTCATATAACAATAATCTAGAACGATGGTTTGAGAAAAGTTGGCAAAAAAAAAGCTTAAGAAAAACATGATAAATATGAGAAAGAAAGGGGCTAGTCTCTCTTCCACTGGACCCAATTTTTATTAACAAAAATCATATTATTTTGTCTTGAATGAAAAAATGAAATGTTTTTCGGTAACTAGTTTTGAGTGGGCTGGAGAAATCCTATACTCAGAAAGTGAAAAGATGGGCCAAAGAGTAATGGGCTAATATTTGATGGGCCAGAGCCCGTAGTGGTTGTCTCATCAGAATCAAAGTGGCCCACTGAATTCTCTCGCTCTCGCTCACATACATGCGTGTCATGTATACTATACAGAAGTGTTTTACCTTCCGGATATGTAGCTTTGCATCTTCTCAAAATAACTCGTTTTTAGAAAAAATAAATTATTTACCCATAGCTGACTAAAATCGTATTAAAACATTTAAGCCTTATTTTCAATTTAAAAAATATATTCCAAACCCGATTCTTTTTATAAAATAAAAAAATTAATTAAAAATAATAAATATATAAAAATCGTAACTTATTTTTCAAAAATATTATTATTTATGAAGAGGGAGAGAATGTTGATAATTAATTCAGTAAGACTAACCATTATTATGAACACTTAAGCTATAAGTGTTTTACACATGCTATAAGTGTAAATAGAAACAGGGCTATAAAAATCAATTTCATTTTTCAAAAAATGAAATTGATTCTAAAAATTTTTAATTTTACACATGCTATAAGTGTTTTCTTGTAAATAGAAACAGGGCATCCTTAAAAAAAATTTCTTATTTGCATCAAAAAATTTTTTTCTTATATATAAGATTAGAATGAATATATCTTTTTACCCTATTATTATTATGAACACTTAAGCCAGTTTGGTTTTTAAATATTATGACAAGATAAATCTAAGAATAGAACCCTTACAAGAGAATTGTAAGGGCGATAAGGAGCATAAAAATGCTTTCTAATTCTTAGTGCAGTAATATAATAATCAATTATCAATAATTTACAAATTATTAAAAATTTAAACTATTTAAAAACGATAAATAACACGATTTGGTTGGAAAGAACACCATTTATTATAAATTCTATATAAATGAATGGGGTAATGGATATACTCTAATAATCATAGTAGTGTTCACTAAAATATCTTTAAAACCACCCAACTTAATAGTCATGTCACAGTCAGGGCAATGAGCTTTTTTTTTTTGGGGGGGGGGGTTGGTAAATTGGAAATTTCCCGTAAGAGACAAAGTATGAAATTTATGCACTTGTTCGAGTACTAAATAAAAGTCAATGTTTTTTCATTGATTTTTCCACTTTCAAAGCAAGCAAAACTAGTGAAAATTGGCTGCTGAAGTGGGACCACCGCAATTAACTCGAAGTATATTGACTTGGGGTACATTTTTTTTGAAAAAATTATTATTTATTTTTTATCTAAATACTCCCTTAATGGTTTTTCTTCTTACTTGCTTTTCAAAACACCAAAAAACTAATGTTTCATTCATTCATATGTAAATTAACGTTAACAACCTACGTCAGTTATTTTACCAAAATATCCCAAACCTGTATAAATTTACTACTCCCTTTTGTCTATATTATATAGGCTAAAATACGCAAAATTTTCCTGGACTTTGAGTCAGTTGCACATCACCTCCTTGACTTTTAAAAGTTTAAATTAAGAACCTTGATGTTTCATATTTTAATTATAAACTCCCCTGCCATTAAAATTACCTCTAACTTTAATGGATTTTTTCGTGCCACAATTTTTATATATTTTATTATATACCATATCAATTAAAAAATAATATTTGACATTTGATGTGAAATTTGAAATTTGCAATTTTTTTAAAAATTAAAATAAAATAACTAAAAACACAAAATAATTTTAAAAATATTTAGAATATTTATCTGAACAAGTCTTTGTAAAATAAAAACTATTATTTTTTTTAACTGATAGATATAAATAAAAATTTTAAAAACGGTAACATGGCAAAAACTGCTAAAGTTAATAGTAATTTTAATGGCAGAGGAATTTATAGTCAAAATATGAAATGTCAGGGTTCTCAATTTGAACTTTTAAAGGTTAGAGAGTTGATGTGCAACTAACCCAGGTTCGGGAGGATTTTCATGTATTTTAGCCTATTATATATCATAATAAGTCTCTTACAAGAAATTTTCGATCCATTTTATAAGATGTTTTGATAATTTCAATGTGTATTAAATTTTTTTTATATATGCCCATATTTAATAAGAATAATAAGAGAAGGTAGAAATTAATAAGATGTTGGAGTTTAGTATGATTAATAAAAGTAATATTATTGTTGGCAAAATGAAATAAGGATAATATTGAAAATCACTTAAATTTCATAACAAATTTAATGATTTTATCTATTTGTCTCGGTATGAATGAATTAGTTAGAAACATTTTATGTTAGGTAACGAAGGAAGGAGTAATTATTTAATGCATATATATATATATATGGAAACCAGTTTCAGTGTTTATCATACCGATGAGTATCATGATGCTTATCAAATTTCAACCATTGAAATTTAATATAGATAACTGAAATTTAATTTTTTTTATATATTTTTAAAAAAATTTTAATAGGTAGATAATCCAAAATAAATGTAATATCTTAACTGTAACTTTTTTTTAAAAAAAATTATTTAAAATTTATTATTTAAAATTTTTAAATCTAGATTATTAAGACTTTATCTGAATGTTGTAGATTTCACCACGAGTATTATAGTTCTCATAGAAGGTGGTTCCTATATATACGTGGGCTAATTTCTTTTTAAAACACAGATTTTGAGGGTCGGTTTGACTGAAAAGGTGGAAGCTTCCATTGCAGATCCGTCCCCTTCACGTCTGCGTCACCGCCCACTTGTGCCTGCATCTTCGTCTTCGTCATCATCTTTGTGCAGTTGACTCTGAACTGAATGGGCTAATTAGCGCTCTCTCTCTCTCTCTCTCTCTCTCTCTCTCTCTCTAACGCAATAAATAAGATATTATGGGATTATTTGGGAAAAAAACATTCTGCATGCCCCACAACTAACACTTTTTAAGTGTCATTTTTATTGGTTTCGTAGTAGACTGTGTTACTGCGCGTGGAGTGTCATTTTTAGACTAGAAACGCACTTAACATTAACTTCTAATTGAACTCTCCTAGAGTGCAAAGAAAAGACCTTATTTAGTTCTATTTATAAATTATATAATTAAATTTTTAATATGAGAGAAAAAATGTAAAAAAATATTTTTTTCAATACTCTTTTTTAACAAGAGTGTTCGAATTTTGAATGGTCCAAACTCGAATTAATTAAAAAAACATAATATGTCTCTTAATTCTCATCTATTTGGGTGCATGCATATCCTTTTATATATTTTCTATCATAAAGGGGTAGATATACAAAACTTGAAGAAAATAGGCACTCTTACATAACATGTTATATATCCCCCAGATAACGCTTAACATTGCTTCTGCAGTATAGATATAATACTTAAACTGTCCCCCAAGCATCATTTATTTAGGTGATAATTAGTATATATCCCTAATTAAGGGCTATACTTAAAAGGAATGACACATAGGTCATTCTTTCTTCTCATTGTAGCACCAAAAGACTCTTCCACATCCAGTTCTGCTGCCTTCATTCCATTTGGAAGTTGCCAATCAAAATGATAAAGCATATTGGAAATAATTAATTCCACAACTGGTGTGGCAAATGCAATTCCAGGGCATATTCTCCTTCCAGCACCAAATGGGATAAACTCAAAGTTTGAGCCTGTGAAACTGTAATTAACTGTGGTATCAAGGAATCTCTCAGGAATAAATTTTTCTGGTTCATCCCAATATTTAGGATCTCTTCCGATTGCCCAAGCATTAACAATAATTCTAGTTTTTGCAGGTATCTCATATCCATTGATTTTACATCTCTCTCTATTTTCTCTTGGAACCAACAATGGCACAGCAGGATGCAGCCTTAAGACTTCTTTGATGACAGCAGCAACATATTTCAACTGAGAAATTTCTGATTCATCCACGCATCCTTTGCTTTTGAAAACTCTTCTAACCTGCATAACCGTCAAAAAGAAAATTCAGAAAAAGTCCCAAAGCTCACACTATTACAACTTCACTATTATTACATTAATCAAAACAACTTTATGCATAATCATACCTCTTCTTGTGCCCTTTTCATTGCCACTGGGTTTCTAAGTAACTCCGTCATAGTCCACTCTATTGTTGTTGCTGCTGTTTCAGTTCCACCTACGAAAATGTCCTGAAAAAGGATTTAAGACATAATTTGAGTGTCTCTACTGCGTGAATCAGAATATAATAATTAAATAACACTTCTATTTATATAACTAAAGGAGCATGTGGAATTAACAACCTTAATAACGCCTTTAATGTTGTCGTAAGATAAGGGGATCTCGAGGTCATTCTCCTTTTGAATCCTAAGAAGAACATCAACTAGATCTTCATCCTCACCAGCATGGTTGCCAAGGTTCTTTTCTTCATGATCAGTGATAATATTTTGAAAGATCCTATCAGTCTCGGCTTGTAGCCTAATCATTGTAGCTTTGATCCCAGTTATCACACTGAGGAATCCGAGAGAAGGATAGAAATCAATAACATTTAAACCCGAGATTAGCTGAATTGTATGCTCAATAGTAGGTAGAATGGCTTCTACGTTCTTGGTCTTCTTACCAAATGCTGCTCTAGCAACTATGGAATTTGTGAGAGGGAAGATTTTCTTACTAAGGTTCATGACAGAACCTGCATATTCACGGATGTCCTTCATGAGCATTGAAACCTCCTCTTCCCTTATATTCTTGAAAGTTTGGACCCTCTTTGCAGACAAAAGCTCCAAAGTGCAAATCTTTCGGAGCTGCCTCCAATAGTTTCCATACGGGGAGAAAACAATATCGGAGCCATTGTAAGCAAAGATATCAGTGGCAAGAGTTTTGGGTCTATTAGCGAAGATTTGGTCATGTGTCTTCATAACCTCCTTGGCTATTTCAGGGGAAGACACAATCATGAACGGAAGCTGCCCAAGTTGAAGATACATCAAAGGTCCATACTTTTTTGAAAGGTCTCTCAAAGATCGAGTAGGTATTGAAACTAGAAGTTGGTGAAGGTTTCCTATGATAGGTAATTTCGGTGGGCCTGGAGGTAAGTTTCTACATTTTCTGGAATTTGATAGCTTGTGAATCAAAAGGATGAAGCACAAGAAAGTGAAGAGGATAGCTGAAGGGCTATGAAACTCCATGATCATAAAATAATATTGATACTGCAAGTTTGGTGTGAGGTTCTGGACAGTAAGTTGTGCTTTTATACTGAAGATGCGAGTGTTCCACAGTCCCCGTATGGTTAATTTATAGAATGAGCAGTTTCTTCACTTTGTACTACTATAATTGACGTTTGATTATTCCATGTGGAAGTGACATTATTTCCTTCTCTCTTTTTTTTTTAAAATAAAGTGATATTGATTTTTTTTTAAAAAAAAAAAGTGGCATTGATACTATTATCAAGCAAGGTGATATATATACATGCATTATGCAGAGGGGCATTAGATGCTTTATTTTATTCATTATTATAATTATCGTCATAATCGTAGAATGCAAATTTTTATCTTCTTCGATCTATCTTTATTTTTTAAATTAACAAACTAATTTTATTTTTATTTGTTAAAATAAACCTGTACTAGTTTAATTAAAGGAAAGTACATTAGTTCTTTGCCGGACATGACGTTATCCTTCTAAGAAAACATCGAAGCGGACAATTGGGCCATTCACTTTTCAGTTTTCAGAGCGCGTGTCTTTGAATCTTCCCTTCTGCAAAATTTTTCTGAGAGCTATTTTCTGCATTGTCCCTTATCACTTGGAAAAATTGGCCACAATACGTTGACTGAAGGTATGAGTCATGATGCCGCTATCTTTCGTTGCCGAGAAAAGTCTGAGTGGACAGGTTAATGACTTAATTGATGGAGTGAAATTAGGAAAGTGAGTTATAATCATGATGATATCGGTTGAACCACGTCAACAAAATAAACAAATAATTACAATAGTTTTAATTGCAGGAAATAAGTTAATCCAGACAAATATATGAGGCTAAACAAGTTTGCTGGCAAAAAAATATATACAAGGCTAAACAAGTTTGGGCCTCCTGAAATATTTTCTCTATATCGACACCACAAATTTCATTTTGAGCTTTGTCGTGATTTCTCCTTCCAACCACCCTGATGCTTTTTCTTTTCTTTTCTTTTTTTCCGGACATAAGTATCCTCCAATTAGAGGTAATATTGTTCAAGGTACTAAAAGGCACTAAACACTTCTCCCAATAAGAATTTGATTTTTTTTGCTAGACACATATCTTTTTATTTGAAGTAATCCTATTCGACGTACTATCAGGTACTAAAAACGAACACCTCTCCTAATGAAGACTTAAACCTTGATTCATTATATTATAAAAAACTAATTCGTTTTACTAGATCCAACTCTCCTAAGTTGTTAAAATTTAAATTTTAATTTGTTATATTATGATAGACTAGTTCTTTCTCTTAAGGGTGTGTTTGGATGAAACCAAACCGTGGTTTGGAAAAGTGATTCTGAAGAATAGATTCTGGGAAGAATAGATTCTGTGAAGAATAGATTTTGTAAAAAAGTGATTCTGAGAAGTGAGAGTGTTTGGATAGTTGTTATCAGAAGCACTTTTTATATATACAAATTACTAAAAAAAGATATAAGTTAATATGATAATTACAGAAAAAATAGATTTTATGATATATTTTAATTTGAAGGAATAAAATTGTTAATAATATGTTTTTTACCAACATAATTAATAATACATAAGATAATATAATTAATAATTAATTAATGTGTATATATATTTATAAAATATAAGATTAATATATTTATAAAAAATATGTTTATAAAAAAAATAACAAGATACATATCATATAAGCCCTCACACTCTCCCTTTTTTCTCCAAAAGCAAAAAAATTTTGCTTTTTCCAAAACCATGGTTTTGGTTTTTGGAGGGGGTGTTTGGGTGATTTATTCCCCAAACCATGGTTTGGGGTGTCACCCAAACACACCCTAAATCTTTGATTTCGTAGTTGAAAACTTGAAGTCTTTAAACTAATCTGTGGGCCAATTGATTTAAGAAGGGCCCAAGTGTTTCTCGATTTATGCCAATGGAATGGAAGATTCTAATTGGGCCGCCGAGCTTGACCGACTTAGTATATGGCCAATTATTTAAATACAATTTTTTTCCCACAAGGGTTGCATATTCTGCAAGAGCGGAACGGAATTCAACTTCAATTATGACATGGTAGTTGAGAGGAATCTTTCGCCAATTTTTTTAATCATACATCAATCAAACCAACTAATTGTAATTTTTTGAATTAAAAAAATATGATATATATAACTGAAGATGGAATATATATTATGTAGCTACGTTCAGTAAAAGTTTAAAAAAGGTCTACAACGATTTATTTTTAAAAAATTATGTTTTTAAGTTTGAGATATTCTTTAAACTTAAATATGAAGATATGTAATGTCATGTACGTATATTAAAAATAAAAAGAATTAAATTAATGTAGTGTATGGATTGATGGTTTATGGACATTGAATCTTTGATATGCACTATAATTTAGAAATTAAGTATATAATTTTGAGTTTGGATGAAGAATACGACGAATGGGTGGATATTGTTTTTTTTTTTTAATTCGTTTCATTTGAATAGAATTTTTTTTTTTTGGATTTTAATGTTCCCCGTTATGATTATGAATAATTATTTTCTTTATTTTAAGTATATATATTGTTTTAAAATATGTTTTATTTAATTATGACTATAGTGAAGAAGTGTGTTCTTGAGCTGTTTATTGACCAGTTTTTTTAAAAAAAAAATTGTTTATGCCGACGCTATTTTTTAAATATTGATAATTATACCAGCCCCTTAGATTTTCTATCAGAATAATTAAAAATTACTTAGCCATCTCCTTCCCCAATGAACGATATGCGCGGAAGCGTGGTGGTTAGAGTACAAATATTGCAAAAATCAAAAGAAAATATTTGTTAAATTCGGAATGTTTGACTTATCTTCTATACTACTACCTCGGGTCCTTAATACTACCTTGAATCTAAGATTTTATTTGTAGCCTACAAACAAAGCTTATAATAGGACCAGAGGTAGTATAAAAGTTAATTAACTAACCTAAGTAAATTAAAAAAATTAATTAAGTTAGTTATTTGTAATATATACTAGTGGGTGTTATCTTTCTTAAAATATTCTTGTTAATCAAGTATACTGGCTAGAACTACTATTATTACAAAAACTATATTTAAAAAAATGGATAAATATAAGAGACAAAGTAAATTAAGATCTTATATTGAAGATCAAAATAAAAGTCAAATGAGCCCTTATATTAAAAATTAGTATATGAATTAAATATTCATTTTCTCTTCACATTTCAAAAATCGGTCCAAGAAGCATTGCCTTCCTTAGCAAAAAAAAATGTGGGAGATACAATAATTTGATTCCAGCTGGTTGTAAACAAGAACCAAATACTACTTCCGGTCTTTAATATAAGATTTTGTTTGACTTTTATTTTGGTTCTAAATATAAGATTTCAATCCACTTTGTTTCTTATATTTATATATATTTTTCTAAGATAATCCTTCTAATAATAATAGTTCTAGCCAATACATTTGATTAGCAAGAATATTTTAGGAAAAAGAACACTTATTTATTACAAATAACTAACTTAACATATTTATTTAATCTCTTCAAATTAGTCAACTAACTCTTATAATTAGGACTGGAGGTTGTACTACTTTCTATTCTTAATATAGGATCTAGTTTGTAATTCAGTTTAAAGTACAAACTAAATCTCATATTAAAGACTAAAAAGCAGAGGTATTATTTATTAATTAAAATAATATGTATTTGCATAGAGTTCTTTGTACTATTTATAACATGAAAATAACTTATGAATGTAGTGCAGTTTATAATATTATATAAATTTATTAAATTATTACAAAGGAGAAAAAGGATACATTTAAATAAACTTAATTTATTCTCCAACAACTCCAAAGCGCAGAACAAAGTAGGTATCCCGCTATATTTGTCAATCCACCATAAGATGACAAACGAAGAACCAAAAAAAAGAAAACTGTAATTGATTAATCATGATGCAGACTTATTATTTAAGGGCAATATCTTATTGGAATCAAGCAAAGATCGTTTTTCCTTCTCACCGTAGCACCAGAATTCTCTGTCATGTCCAACTTTTCGTGCTCTAACCCATTAGGAAGTCTCCAATCAAAGTGATAAAGCAAATTGCAGACCATACTTTCAACAAGAACTGTAGCAAATGAGACTCCAGGGCATATCCTTCTTCCAGAACCGAATGGGATGTACTCGAACTCTGTCCCTTTAAAGTTGTAATCTATTGAGGCATTCAGGAACCTTTCTGGTTCAAACTTTTCTGGTTCATCCCAATACTTTGGATCTCTTCCGATTGCCCAACCATTGATGATGACCCTAGTCTTGGGAGGCAATTTATAACCATTGATCTCACAGCTCTCACTATTTTCTCTTGGAAGTAACAGTGGCAAAGGCGGATGTAACCTCAAAGTTTCTTTTATAACTGCAGATACATATTTCAAATGACGAAATTCTGATTCATCTACGTATCCTTTGCTTCCGAAAATCCTTCTTACCTCTTCTTGTGCCCTTCTCATTTTGCTGGGGTTTCTAAGAAGTTCTGACATTGACCACTCTACGGTTGACGCTGATGTTTCAGTTCCACCAAGGAAAACATCCTAGAAATAGATAATATAAACTCACGATTAGAGCTCATAATGTGTATTTTGAAGATATATCTATAACAATTCAATCATCAATTAACATATATACTCACCGCTATGATAGCTTTGAGGTTGCGTTGAGTCAAAGGGATCTCAAGGGTATTTTCCTTTTGAATCCTCAGAAGAACATCGACCAAATCCTCTGTTTTACCAGCATGACTATGGTTCTTTTCTTTGTGATCGTTGATGATATTCCTCACCATCATATCAAGCTCCTTGTTCACGCTATCAATTTTAGCTTTTATGCCGGTGATCACTTGAAGGATTTTGAGCGAAGGGTAAAGATCAGAAACTGAGAAACCACTTGCCAACTCCAGAGTACGTTTCATTAGTGATAGGATTTCTTCAACGTTCTTTGTCTTTGCACCAAAAGCTGCTCGAGCAGTTATGAAATTCGTGAGCTCGTAAAGCTTCTCACTGAGATTAACAATGGAGCCTTCGTGTTCTGATATATTCTTCACGAGTGCTGAAACCTCTTCTTCCCTTATTGTTCTGAAAGTTTGGACCCTCTTTGCAGACAAAAGCTCCAGAGTACAAATCTTCCGAAGTTGCCTCCAATAGTTTCCGTAAGGAGAAAAGGCTATGTCTGTGTTATTGGAAATCAGTGTGGTGGCAACAAGAGCAGGTCGATTTGCAAACGTTGTATCGTGTGTTTTCATGATCTCTTTGGCTATTTCTGGGGAAGAGACAACAACATGGGACAACTCTCCAAGTTGAAGATGTATGAAGGATCCATATTTGTTGGCTAGATCTCTCATGGCACGATGGGGTATTGATCCTGCAAGTTGGTGTAAGTTGCCGATGATAGGTAATTTGGATGGCCCTGGAGGTAGGGTTTTGAAGGATTTATTGGAGGTTGATTTCTTCAGCATTACAAGGAAGAAGAAAGAGATGGCGAAGAGGATAGTGTATGGGATTTGAATCTCCATTGATGGCTGAGGAAATGGAGAACTGGAAGCTCGCTTTAGTTAGGTTATAAGATATATAGACCTCTTTTACATTAATAACACACTATGCAAAAAAAGCATTTTACGGCAGTTAGAATGAGCCTTTCATGACAGTTTTGAATGTGACATTTATGTCATCAACGTGAAAAAATAGAGGACTTCATGATAGGAAGTGCTAAAGTATGTTACTTTTTACGACGGTTGTATATTTATTGAATTCTTCTCTTTTAGCTTTGCTCGAAGCCTAAAGCTCTTCGTGACCAGTAGAACATAGAAGTCTTTAACTACCGGACTGAAGTTATTAAGATTTGATAAAGGTAAAATTGAACACCAAAATATTATAAAACTCATGAATTTCAGGCTATCAAACTCAAATCTATAAAATAAAAGGAACAAAAATTAGATATTTTCAAACTTTCACATATCAAAGTATATTTAAGTAAGGAGACTAACAAAAAAAACAGATATATTCAAATTTAAAACAAACATCATGTTTTTAATCAAAGAAAATACTACACACATCTTTTCAAACAACTAAACTACAAAAATTATAAAACCCACAAAAAGAATAGAAAAGAAAGGGCAAAAAACTCACAAATAACGATGAAGAAGATGACATGACAGTGACATCGATGAAAGAACATGGCAGAGATGATAGAAACAAAGAGAAAACACCACCAAAAGTGAGAGGAGGAAGAAAATTAAGTGGAGACGACAGTGAGAAACCAGGAACTTTAACCGTGAAAAGTAAAAAACTATTACATGATAAGAAGAGTTTTAAAATTCTAATAATCTTTTTAAGAAGAGTTTTTTTTAAACCATCGTAAAAAGTATACTTTTTACAATAATTTTCTGGATAACTGCTATAAAAAGTAAAATGTACTTTTATGCAATGACAAAAATGTCATGGCTTTTTTTTTGTTACAGTTGTTTCCTGATAGCTGCCGTATATTAGCGTCGTGTAGTAGTAACATGAATGATGTTATGATATTATATCATTTGAGTCCAAATATGATAAAAAAGATTTCGTAAGAAGATATTTGTTGATTTCTGCATTATTTAAATTTAACTTACTGGCCGCAACATCAAACTCCGTACTTCATAAACAAACTTTTCCACGAAATTAATTAATTATGTTTCCTCCATTAAGAAATTCTGGGCTGATTAGCCGAGTCAACACGCTATCTAAACATTTATTATTTATAATTTATCAATAATCATCATCAAATTTTTTACTTTATATATATAATTTTCCGCAATCAAATTTGTATCGCAATTAACATTTTACATAAAATATTTAATTTCTAAATCACTTCATTTAAAAGCTTGATTGATATTTCTTTCGATAAGCCCCTGTTAATCTCTTGCTGCTACAAATTCTATCTCAGCTCAATTAATTGAAAATGCCCAAAAATTAGATCTCAATCTTAATTCCTCTTGAAGGTTAAAAAAAAAATATCAATTCCTATTAGAGAGCCAGAGAGGGAGAGAATATTCAGCAGTAAGCTAGCCACCAGTCGCGATGGCTTTCTGCCATAGAAAATTGAATTGTTCAAAGTAGCTAGGGTAGGCCATGTGATGGAAGTTTGACAGTAAGCCACATTTAAATATGAATATTGAAACAAATTTTAAAAAATTCTTAATCTTCAAAGTTCACCAACCCACCATCGTCTGAAACATGTTGATACAAATTACATTTACACAAACGGAAAAAATTCATAGCTATGAATTAATTAATTGCCTTATTAATTTATCAAGAGCTTCACAGTAATGGTATTTATTTTATGCTTTTAAATTCAATTATGATTAAGAAATTGTACGTATAATTTACATTAAAATATTGCTATGATAAGAAAAGTAGTAGCAATTGATTAGGGGTTACTTGTGGGGAGTATGATGTGATGCTAATCAGCTTAATTATTAACTAATGGCGCAAGAAATCAGGTGTGCCACGTGGCATTTACTTACGGGGAACAAGTGAAGTGAGTTTGGTGTGGATCTTCACTCAGCCAAGTCATTTCATCATTCCCTTTTGAATATTACCATTCAAGAACACCGGACCTTAAAAAGCTAATCAGAAACATCTTAGGGTAATCTCTTTGATTAAATTGCCCTTACTGACGTAAAAGTTGAAAATTTTGAGAAGCAAAACTGGAATTTTAAAAGACAACTTTACAATTTTAATTAAGATTAGTTTAAAGCTGCTGTGGCCTGACATGAGCACAAATCTTTGGAAGAATATAATACCCAAAAGCTAACTGTTACTTATGTTTGGTACGAGCAAAATAAAAAGCAATGAATGAGAGAGAAAAAAATTTAAAAAGTTTGTTTTAAATAAAAAATGAGATTTTAAAATTTTACTAAAAAAAAATATATGTACGAGAAAAAAATAATAATAATTAATTAAAAACTTTTAATATCATTTTTTTAATTTTTTTTAATCAAACTCATTAAAAATTTTACTGTCTTTCCCTCTACTCCACCCTGTTTCTTTCATATTAAACAAGCCGTGGGAATTGGGGATCCCAAGACTTATAAGGCTCCTCTTTGAAGACGAATCTCTCCATGCGAGACCCATGAAAGAAAAGAACACTCTGCGGCTTTGGCTTTGCTTGGGTTCTGAGGGGAATTTGAAGGCAACGCTGCGGATTCAAGTCCAACGGCTCGGCGGAAAGGAATCATGGTTGCTGCAAGTGCCCACATTCTGCCATGGAGATTTAAGACAGCACTGCTTAATGGCTTGGCATGGAATGGATCTTAAGAAGGATGGAGGAAATGAAGCTAATGAATAAATTAAACTAAAAACGATAATGCATCAATCGACTAAGTATAGGGTTGGCGCGAAGCAATGGCCGGAAGTGGGAGATGACGCGTGGGAGTCACAGCTATATGGTCGAGTGGTGACCCGATATAAAGAGGGAAGTGGTGGGCCTAGTTCTTGTGGGCCTGCAGTCCAAAAGGTGACGATGTGGATTGGATAATGGATTTGGGCCAGGAAGGTCGTCCCTCATATCAGATAAGGTGGAGGGCGGGCCCAGCTTTTAAGTTGTATGTTTGGTTGTTTTCATGTTTAAGCGAAAATTTGGGTTTAGAGTGCTTCACAATCTTAATGAATTAATGTTCGAATTTTTATTAAGAGATGTGTTTATATTTAATACCTAATAATATTTTGAATGTGATTGTTTTTAATAAGAAAATACATCTGCATAATAAAAAAAAAAAGTGAATTATTATTCTTAATTTGAGACATGCACAGTTCAGTGTTTACTGTACAACATTTTAGAAATGAGTGGTCCTTACTATAATTCACTGACTGATGTATCAATTATATTTTTTTGGTATTGCCCTGATGACTCGAGGTAGCTTCTGATGTCTCATATATTTGAATTATTGTTATATAGAAATAAGTTCTATATGTTTTTCTCTCAGATTACTTTAGACGACTATGTTTACTGCTTAGAAATTATTGTCTGTCGAGTCTGAAGAATTTAGAAAACTAAATTACGTGGCCATGCGGATTTTTTTTTTCAATTCAGTTATTTAATTGTTTTAGTCAAATCCCATGGCATCCTCCACTCATTTTAAACGATTTAATTTTCATTTGGTCTTTGGATTATTATTTAATCTTCAAATCCCAATCTGAGTCCTGACAAGTAGGTCATTCTTGTTGAATTTTAAGATCCAAACGTCCAACGGCTTAGGCATTACTTTAAAGAAGAAATTAAATTAAGTAACTACATATAATTAATAAAAATATTGAAATATGCTGACTGAAACATCCAATGGAAAAAGGATATAAAGCAGTCTCTGCCCAAGACATAAACAAAACAAAATCAAATTAACTTCTATAATCATGATTCTCCAGATCTTCCTCTTCACCTTGTTTTTCTTCCTTCTTCTGATATACAGCCGATCGAACACCAAGAAATCCTTCAAAACTCTACCTTTACCTCCAGGGCCATGGAAGTTACCTCTTATAGGGAACATCCATCAACTTATAGGGTCACTACCCCATCACTCTCTGAGAAACTTGGCAAACAAGTATGGTCCCTTAATGCATCTCCAGCTTGGAGAGACAACCAATGTCATTGTCACTTCCTCAGAAATTGCCAAACAGATCTTCACAACACATGAAGTTATCTTCTCCAATAGACCTCATCTTCTCGCTGCTGAGATCATCACTTATAATTGTTGGCGGCAGCAAATGAGGAACAGCAAATCCGGTTCGAGTCGCGTCACAAGGACACTGTCCTTGAGAGATATTCCGCAGCCTCTCGGTGTAACAGGCAGCGGCACTCCCCAGGATCAAACGAACCCTTCCTGCGAAGCAAGGTAGCAGAACAGCGAAAGCGATTGTAACAGGAAACACAGCGGGAGAGAAGAGGAAGAGGATGGGACTGTGTGTCTTCACGCTGCCTGGACAGTCCCTTATATAGGCGCGAATGGCCACATCCCCGGAGGACGCATCCCTCTGTTTCGCCGAGCGGGTACGACCGAAGCAACGTAAGGTTCCGTTGGAGACGGAACAGCGCGAACGTTGGTGCACACAACGTTCGCCTACACCCCGCGAGACGCGTCCGGTCGGCCACAAAACGAAACAGTAAGCCTCTTGACTTTTAACAGGTCCAAAATAAGGCTTTTCTGGTAAGCATAATTTTATTAAAAAATATTCAACAAAGTTTAAAATAATTTTCGTAAAATGAGGCTTTACCGCGTTTAATTCACGCGCAGGGGGGAAATCGCCGGTTTACAACTGCGTTTCCCTCCTGGTGGCCTGTTGTTGTGTGCGCGAGGCCCACTTCCCTCTTGGCCCATTTACCCCCCCAAGGATGCTTGATCTCATTTATACACTTAGACTTCTTCTCATCTTTCCCATGTGGGACTTTATTTGACACACATATTGCATTATTTCACAACAATCCCCCACATGTGTCAAATAAAGAGCCAGAGTTACACACATGGGTATAATCATTGTATCTAGTGGTTCTTGCGACTATGAACTAGACCTAGACTGATAACACTTAGTACACAGAGATGCCAGTGAAGCCTGCTTCTATGAACTGTCATCTCTTCGGCGTGTACTAGAGGCATTAAAAGTCAGATTATACCCCCACATTTCCGCTGTTAACGACGGTTTTGCGCGTTATAACGGCCGTGCGCGTGCCTGGTGCATAACGAATGCTCTAGAGATTTTGCCATGATCTCATAGGAGCGGCCCCACTCCACATTCGTAGAGGTGATTTCATTTAAGTGTACCTGCACTGAATACACCATCCCGTAGGATTTGAAATCATTAAGAGCTTTGCTCAACCCTCCAATATGCAATCTAGCACTTTCTCACACATCATAGGAGGGACTAGTAATTTTGGTTTACTGCTAGCAGTACTAACGAGCGACTTGTTCTTACCCATTGAACCTTCTTCATGGGATCACCAATCACAAAGGTTGGGTTGCCATCGCTGTCGTAATCATACTGGCTTTAGTCCCATTCCCCTCGATGTTTCGATAATTTGTTTCCTCCCTAGGGGTTTTGTTAATGGATCTGCTAGGTTCATTTCTGACCTCACAAAATCGATTGAGATCACCTCGTCCTTTAGCAGCTGCCTTAAAATATTGTGTCTCAATCGAATGTGTCTGCTTTTGCCATTAAATGTTTTATTTTTGGCCGTGGCTATTGATGCCTGGTTATCACAGTGTAATGATATTGATGGCGTTGGCTTGTCTCCCAATGGGATATTTGCTAAGAAGTTTTTCAACCACTCAGCCTCTGTACCAGCCAATTCCATAGCAACTAACTCAGAATCCCTTGAGGATCGAGTTATGATGCTTTGTTTGGCTGACTTCCAAGTGACAGCTCCACCACCAAATGTAAAAACATAACCGCTAGTGGACTTTGTCTCGTCTGAATCTGAGATCCAATTAGCATCACTGTATCCTTCTAATACAGCGGGAAATCCACTATATAGTATACCATAATTCATGGTACCCTTCAGATATCGTAATAATCTCTTCAGAGCTTCCCAATGTTCACTGCCTGGACAGTGAGTATATCTGCTCAATCTGCACACAGCATATGCTATGTCTGGCCTGGTATAATTCATCAAGTGCAACAGACTCCCAATAATCTGTGCATACATAGATTGAGCAATCGGATCTCCTTTATGCTTCTTTAGATGCACACTAGCATCATAAGGGGTACTCAAAGGAGTTTCATCATAATGTTCAAACTTTCTCAGTATTTTCTCAACATAATGTTCCTGAGAAAGTAAGATGCCATTTTCATTTCTTGTGATTTTAACACCTAGGATTATTTTTGCTTCACCCAGATCTTTCATATCAAAATTTGAATTAAGAAACATTTTTGTTTCAAGCACCACATTCATACTGGTTCCAAAAATAAGCATATCATCCACATATAAACAAATAATCACACAATCATTATTCATAACTTTGGTATAAACACATCTTTCTACTTCGACAGTAGAGAAACCACCACTCATTAAAACTTGATCTAACTTCTCATGCCATTGTTTGGGTGCTTGTTTTAAGCCATATAGAGATTTTACTAACTTACATACTTTGTTTTCTTGCCCAGGAACAGCACACCCTTCAGGTTGTACCATATAAATTTCCTCTTCTAAATCACCATTTAGAAATGCTGTTTTGACATCCATTTGATGTATAAATAGCTTATGAATTGATGCTAAAGCAATAAGGATTCTAACAGATGATATCCTTGTAACAGGAGAGAATGTATCAAAATAATCAATATTTTCCTTTTGGGTAAAACCCTTAGCTACAAGCCGTGCTTTGTATTTATCTATGGTTCCATCAGGAAAATATTTTTTCCTAAAGACCCATTTGCAACCTATAGGTTTTGCTCCTGAAGGCAAGTCTACCAAAACCCAAGTTTTATTTTTATTTAAGGAGTCTATTTCATCTTTAATTGCTTCTTTCCAAAGCTCTGCATCCGGAGAAGAGATTGCTTCATAAAAGTTTCTAGGTTCATTTTGTACTAAAAATGTGTAAAAATCATCTCCAAAGGATGTTTCCTTTCTCTGTCTTTTACTTCTCCGTAATTCTTCAGTCAAAACTTGATTTGTTTTTTCTTGGAAAGAGGCAGAAGGATTTTCAACACCTTTGGGAATATGCTCAACTTTTAATGGAAAAATGTTTTCAAAAAATTCAGCATCCTTTGTTTCAGTAATTGTGTTTTGGTTCAAAACTAAAAAACGATAAGCAGCACTTTGTTGAGCATAACCAATAAACATACAGTCAACAGTTTTAGAACCAATTTTCCTTTTCTTAAAATCAGGCAATAAAACTTTTGCAAGGCACCCCCACACTTTCAAATATTTAAGATTAGGTACAAAACCTTTCCACAACTCATAAGGTGTTTTGTTAGTTTTCCTATGAGGTATTCTATTTTGTAAAAAGCAAGCAGATAACAGAGCTTCACCCCATAAGTTATCAGGTGCACCAGAACTACAAGCAAAGCATTCATCATTCTTTTAAAGTTCTATTTTTCCTTTCTGCAACTCCATTAGATTCAGGTGAGTAAGGAGGTGTTACTTCATGTATTATTTCCTTTTTTTCACAAAAGTCATTTAGTAATAAATATTCTCCTCCTCTATCAGATCTAACTCTTTTAATTTTCCTACTTAGTTGATTTTCTACCTCTGCCTTATATAAGATAAATTTTTCAAAAGCTTCATCTTTATTTCTTAACAGGTACACCTTAGTGTATCTAGAAAAATCATCAATGAAGGTAATATAGTATCTTTTACCACCTCTAGTCTCTGTTTGTTTCAAATCACCTAAATCAGTATGTATTAATGACAATAACTCAGTCTCTCTTTGTGTAGGAAAATGTGATTTTTTAGTCATTTTGGTTTCTGCACAAATCTCGCATTTACCAATATTATTACTTTTAGTTTCAGAAATTAATTTAAGGTGTTGCAACCTTTTGATATATTTCCTATTAATATGCCCTAATCTAGCATGCCATAGATCATAAGAATCAACCAAGTAAACAGAAGAAGATGCATTATCATTCATATCGACACTCAGTACAAAGAGACCTTGATTACAGTAACCCTTCCCCACAAGAACATTGTTCTTTGTCATCACAATTTTGTCAGACTCAAATGACACTTTCACCCCAGCCTTTCCCAAGAGAGCCACAGAAATTAAATTTGCTCTCATATCGGGCACATACAGAACATCATTTAGCACTAGAGACTTCCCAGATGTGAGTTTCAGCACCACTTTTCCCTTTCCCTGAACCTTTGCAGTTCGGGAGTCAGCGAGATAAATGTGATCTTCCCCTTCTTCGAAGGAGGTATACATTTCCCTGTTTGCACATATGTGCTTGGTAGCCCCAGAGTCTACCACCCATTTTCTCACATCAGAGATGAGGAGGGCCTGAGAAAGCATTGCAGCAATTACTTCGTCATTGTCGCTGTCATCTCCTTCAACCAAATTCACATTTGGCTTGGGAGGATTTTCATCCTTTTGAAAACTTCCCTTAGCCCTCTTCCTGCACTGTGCTGCATAATGTCCAGGTTTGCCACAAACAAAACAATTGCCCTTCTTCTTGAATTTGGAGTTAGTGCCTTTGGGTTTGTAATCAGGTTTCTTATTTTTCTGTTTCTTTGAGTTAGGGTCGTACCTCTTGTTGCGTGGTTTTGTTTCCACTAGATTTGCTTTGGCAGCCGTCTCTTTCTCTTTCGCTGCTTGTATTGTCCTTCTGTTGGTATCTTCAATGATGATGTGAGTGATCAAGCCGGTAAGCGACAATTGTTTCTGTTTATGCTTGAGTTGTTGTTTGTAGTTGTTCCATGAGGTTGGTAGCTTTTCAATCAGGACCCCAGCGATGAACTCGTCAGGAAGATTGATCTTTTCAGCCCGAAGTTCCTCCAGTAATTTGTGATATTCATTGATCTGAAGCTTGATGTCTTTGTCATCGGTCATCTCCCACCTATAGAAGTTTCCGACCACAAATTTCTGCTTCCCAGCGTCCTCAGCAGTATATTTGAGAACCAATGATTCCCATATTTGCTTGGCCTCTTTGTAGACGCTGTAGATGTCAAACAAATCATTAGATAGTGTACTGATCAAAGTGTGCCTGCATACTTTGTTGGCCTGGTGCCACATATCCTTCTGTCCTTGATCAGCATCTGCAGCAGGTTCTGATTGAGTTAGCGCATTGACGACTCCATGCATGTCCAGAATTGTGTAGACACGTTCTTGCCACCGCCTAAAGTTGCTTCCATCGAACATTTCTATCTTGGATGTGTCAGGGAATGGCCTAGGAAGCGGTATGGCTGCCGGGACGTTCAGGGGAACGCTGACAGGAACAGCACTGGAGCCAGCAGCGTCGTTGTTTGCAGCCATTGTTCAGGATATCTCTCAAGATTGTTGGCGGCAGCAAATGAGGAACAGCAAATCCGGTTCGAGTCGCGTCACAAGGACACTGTCCTTGAGAGATATTCCGCAGCCCTCGGTGTAACAGGCAGCGGCACTCCCCAGGATCAAACGAACCCTTCCTGCGAAGCAAGGTAGCAGAACAGCGAAAGCGATTGTAACAGGAAACACAGCGGGAGAGAAGAGGAAGAGGATGGAACAGTGTGTCTTCACGCTGCCTGGACAGTCCCTTATATAGGCGCGAATGGCCACATCACCGGAGGACGCATCCCTCTGTTTCGCCGAGCGGGTACGACCGAAGCAACGTAAGGTTCCGTTGGAGACGGAACAGCGCGAACGTTGGTGCACACAACGTTCGCCTACACCCCGCGAGACGCGTCCGGTCGGCCACAAAACGAAACAGTAAGCCTCTTGACTTTTAACAGGTCCAAAATAAGGCTTTTCTGGTAAGCATAATTTTATTAAAAAATATTCAACAAAGTTTAAAATAATTTTCGTAAAATGAGGCTTTACCGCGTTTAATTCACGCGCAGGGGGGAAATCGCCGGTTTACAACTGCGTTTCCCTCCTGGTGGCCTGTTGTTGTGTGCGCGAGGCCCACTTCCCTCTTGGCCCATTTACCCCCCCAAGGATGCTTGATCTCATTTATACACTTAGACTTCTTCTCATCTTTCCCATGTGGGACTTTATTTGACACACATATTGCATTATTTCACAACAATAATAACATAGATATTGGATTTTCTCCACATGGGAACCATTGGAGGCAACTCCGAAAAATATGTACTTTAGAGCTTTTAACTGCAAAGCGTGCTCGATCTTTTAGGTACATAAGGGAAGAGGAAGTATCTGCACTCGTCAAAGATATTCGATCTCATGAAGGTTCGGTCATAAATCTGAGTGAGAAAATTTTCACAACCACAAATTCCATAATTGCAAAAGCAGCTTTCGGTAAGAAGTCAAGAGATCAAGAAGCCTTCATATCTAGTTTGAAGGAAATAATGAAGGTGATGGGAGGTTTCTCGATTGTTGATCTCTTTCCCTCTGTCAAAGTTCTTCAAGTGATAACTGGAATGAGAGCTAAAGTTGAAAGGGTTCATAAGTTGAATGATAAAATACTGGAGGACATCATCAAGGATCACAAAGAAAGAAAAGAGAGAAGTAGTGAGAATACTGAAGAGAATCTACTTTATGTTCTTTTAAAAATTCAACAGGAAAATGATCTAGAGCTGCCGTTAACCCACAAGCACATCAAAGCCGTCATTCTGGTGAGTAGCGTATATATGAAAGAACTTTAGCTTTAAGAGTAACGTAATTTATCTTATGCTTATTAATATTTTATAGTTACAAAGAAGTTTCTTTGACGAAGAACTCACAACCCATCTTCAGGATATGTTTATTGCTGGATCTGAGTCATCATCAACTAGTCTGGAGTGGGCGATATCAGAATTGATGAAGAACCCAAAGGTGAGGGAGAAAGCTCAAGCTGAGGTCAGAAGGATTTACGGTGAAAAAGGATATGTGGACGAAAGTGAGATTCATCAACTGAAATACTTAAACTCAATTGTGAGGGAGACCTTAAGATTGCACCCTCCTGGGGTGTTGTTACTTCCACGAGAAAACACTGAAAGGTGTGTGATTGATGGATATGAGATACCTGAAAAGACCAAAGTCATTATCAATGCTTGGGCAATAGGAAGAGATTCTAAGTTTTGGGATGAAGCTGAGATCTTCAAGCCAGAGAGATTTTTGGATAATCCAATTGACTTTAGAGGAACAAACTTTGATTATATACCATTTGGTGCTGGAAGAAGAATGTGTCCTGGGATTAACTTTGCTTTACCAAACATCGAGCTGCCGCTTGCCAGTTTGCTGTACCATTTTGATTGGAAGCTCCCAAATGGATTCACTCATGAAGAATTTGACATGTCTGAGACATTTGGTGCTGGCGTAAGAAGAAAGGAAAATCTTTGGTTAATCCCAATTAGTTATCAGCACTTGTAATATTATTGCTTCAATGATTTGTCTCGTGCTATATGTGTTGTTAACTACTTATGATGTAAACCTCTATGTTTTTAGTTTAGAGTCCTATTACTATCAAAAAAAAAAAATCAAAAGATTAGTGTTTCTAAAGACACATATAGCTATAAGATTCTCTATCTTTTAGTGATAATATTCAAAGTTAGTTTGAGCACTAAGTGATGTTTTAACCCTTAACATAGATCATTATTTGGGCTATTAACTCATTGACAATTCAAAAATTATATTGATTATAAGATTCAGAAGACTTACATATATATTTAGTGTCAGGTCAAAAAGCTTGTATGCTTAGTGTACTAATTTCTTATCAAATCAAACGAGTGGATTTTTAAACTAGAAAATTCACTAATTTGACTGAAGCCCTACTTAAATCATAATTTTGACTGATTTCGTTTTGGGAGAGAACATTTGAGGTTTTGAGCAGCTTCATTATTTTGACTGGTAATATAAATAATTCTGGAGTATAAAAATTTCAAAACCTCGATTGGATCACTGTCTTGCTATGGAATAATCAATTTCATTTTTCATTGACCGAGAAAATTAAATAAAGGTTATATAAAAAATAAATAAATCATGAAAATCGTACAACTAATTATTCAATATTTTCGTGTTTGAAGGAGAGATTTGAAAAACTTCAACTTGACTAAGCAATTAATTAATTAAATAATTCAAAACCGAAACTAGCAATCCAGATTTCAGATTCATTCAGATCTTAAAGCATTTGTTTTATTATAAAAATAATCGATTCAATACTCCATATATGTGACCAAGAAGTTAACGTATTATTATTTTTCTTAAATATTAATAGATCAACTAAAATACACGAAACAATTAGTTTGACATTCAATTTGATCCCAAATATAAGATTTTAATCTATTTTATCTCTTATTTTTATTCTTTTTTTTAAAAGTAGTCCTTATAATAGTTGCACATATTATGTTTTAAGTGATAATTGTAACTAAATAACATAATTAGTAAGGGTATTTTAGAAAAGACAACACATATTTATTATAAATAACTAAATTAATTTTATTAATTTATTCAAATTAATCAACTAGCTTTTATATTAAAGACCAAAAGTAATATTATTCTCTAAGAGTACTCTTCTGGTCCTATTTATAGGGCAGATAGAGAAGATATTTTTTGGTCATATTTATAGGGCCTTAAGAGAAATTTTTTATATAAATATTCAATTTTATCCTTTATTTATTATTATGTTGACTTTGTTGACATAAAGTATAACGTATATTAAATAGAAATAAGATAGAAAAATTGTTGGATTTTAAAGGAAAATTAATAAAATTTAAGGTTTTTCTTAATTTATATAAAATATGTTGAAAGTGACTTATAAATATGAGCATAAGAATAGGAATAGTTATTAAGAGTAAACTATTTTCGAGAAACTTGGACTAACCATTAAATTAAATCGCACTTTAAATGAATTTGAATTCAATTTAACGTTTTCGTTACGCCATGAGAATCCATCAATATAATAATCATTGACAGTCTAACTTGATAGGTTCCAGCAAACATAAAACTGTTACCCACCAGCTAAGTGGATAATCCCTTAATTCCTCGTGTCAATTGCCTAATTTTTCTTGTGAGGCCACTACAGATCAGATTCCAACAAGTATGAATTCCTGTAATGCATATGATTAATTTACTGACTCTTCATGTAAATTCCCTAATTTGATAGGTTCCAACAAACATGAAACTGTTACACATCAACTAAGTGGATAATCCCCTAATTCCTCATGTCAATTGCCTAATTTTTCTTGTTAGGCCACTGCAGACTAGATTCCCACAAACATAGTAGATGATTTACTGACTCTTCATGTAAATTGCCTAACTTGACAAGTTCTACCAAACATGAAACCGTTACACATTAGCTAAGTGAATGATCCCCTAATTCCTCCTGTCAATTGCCTAATTTTCTTTATGAGGCCACTACAGATTAGATTCCAACAAATATGGAGGGTAATTTACTGATTCTTCATGTAAATTACCTAACTTCACATATTCTAGCAAACATGAGGTTCTTACATACAAGTGGTTATTTAACTAATTCTCCATGTCAATTGACTAACCATCATTGTTAGCCCACTAAATGTCACATTCCAATAATGACCGCGATAAACTAAAGAAAACAAACTCATTTGTCTAATCTATACGACAACAATTGCCCCTCCTAATTCTTTTTTTAATTCCTACAAAATGCCTACAAATACTATAGCAATACAGTTAACTACCAACACTAATTTTTCCCTTCATCATAAATTTCATACTTAACCCCCACACAAACTCTTAACGGTACACTCACAAGCCTTCTCTCACTAAATCAGAAGGATTTGCTAAAGGGCAAAAGGGGTGACGGTTGAACACTATGTGAGACATTGGTAACCATTCCTCGGTTAGAACCCAGATGTCATTGCCAAACACACCCACCTTTGAATGGGTCATTCTTCCTTAACCTACCATGAAAATAAAATCGAACAAATCTACTACATTTAATGTGGACCACAAAGCTTACCAAAGGAAATCAGTGACTTCTTCTCACCCTGCTTCTTCCTTCGTTGCCAATAGCCTTGCAAGTTTCCTCCCTTGTCCGCCTCGTCTTGTTCTCCTTCTAGTTGTAGTGACTACCACCAACCCACAGAATGAGGGTGACGGAATTTTTAGGGGGCACGCCAACACTTTTCGCATATTGCAAGAGGCAAGAATCTTTCCACAGTGATAGCACGTTTGCAAGCAGGAGATGATAGATTTTTCACAGAGTGGTAGCACGTTGGCAGACCGGGAGAGGCAACAGTTTTCCCAGAGTGGTTGCATGTTCGCAAAGCGGGAGAGGGAAGAATTTTTGCACAGTGGAATCACCTTTGCATAGAGAGAGGGGGGGAGGACTATCTGACCATCATATTTTGGCCCTTATTTTCAAATTTCAAGGGAAGTTTAATGAGGAGCAACAACGTCATTTTGTTTGTGGAATTAATATCATATTGGCCCCTTGATCTTGCAGTGAGATCTCAGAAAGTTTTAGGGGCAGTTTAAAATTGTGTACTGTGGTCCTTAAACGAAATTTTTCCAAAATTAAATCAATATCCAAAAAGGCAGACCATGTGAAATGTGTGCGTATAAATATATATACATACACGCACTACCTCTGGTCTTTAATATAAGACTTCATTTGACTTTTATTTTGGTCTTAAATATAAGACTTCAATCCACTTTATCTCTCATATTTATTCTTTTTTTTCCTAAGGTAGTCCTTCTAATAATGGTAGTTCTAGCTAATACATTTGATTAGTAAGGATATTCTAGGAAATACAACACCTATTTATAACAAATAACTAACTTAACTTATTTTCTTAATCTACTTAAATTGGTCAACCAGCTTTTATATTTAGGACCGGAGGTTGTGTGTGTGTATATACAGGGAAATCTAATTTGGGGGTCCTTGTAACTTTATGTCATTTTTAATCAAGTCCTTGAAGTTTTTTTCTTTTTTATCAGCTCCTTAAGTTTTCACCGTTACATCCGTTAGCCCTTGTCCTTCAAAATCGTTAATGGACTCTTGACAAATGTTTGAGAGGACTGAGTTTGCTGACAGCAAAGTTTGAAGACTGAGTAAAAGATGCCTTTCACACCCATGATGAACAAGGTGTCCTTCCCTTCCTCCATTTGCTTTTGTTTGCTGCTAACCATAAGTCTATCGACAGCAAAAATCACAATGCAAGTGATGTTGGGCTTAAAGCTGCAATTGACGTCGCACTACTCCAACTCTTAAGGGCTATTCAACCAAAAATCAATGCAAGTTCTTAATAATAAGGCGAGTGATATTAATTCAGATCTTCTTCATCCCACATGGAATTGGCATACCTTGGCAAATATTGCGACCATACCTGTAGCTCATGAAATTACAGAGGCTACCAATGCAAATTGGCTTGAAATAGTTGATGAACCGGTGAGGCATCCTTGGGATTTCAAGAAGAAGAAATTTTGCAGCAGAACCAGCGAGATATCTTGTCCATGATTTCCTCTAATTCCGATACCGTGCAGTCCAAATGACCTTGGCGCTCCTCTAGGAATTGCAGAGCTAGGCGGCAAACATGCCATCCCACCATCAACAAACTTGGAGAAGGCCTCCTTGAGGTCTAAATCAGATCGGTAGTCTTGTACTTCGCTCTACCGATAGATTTGTGGTGAGCAGCAACCAAAAGCAAGTGGAGGAAGGGAAGGGCACCTTGTTCATCGAGGGTGCGAAAGGCATCTTCTGCTGAGTCTTCAAACTCTGCCATCAGTAAACTTAGTCCTCTCAAACATCTGCCAAGAGTCCGTCAACGATTTTGAAGGAGAAGGGCCAATGAATGTAACGGTGAAAACTTGAAGGAGCTGATAAAAAAGAAAAAAACTTCAAGGACTTGATTAAAAATGACAAAATTACAAGGACCCCCAAATTAGTTTTCCCTATATGTATATAATCAGGGTAATTGAAGCCACAAACTAGTTGGGCCTTATGACTCGGGCCCAAAAGAGCTATCTAACTGGGCTAATAATATTGACTGGGATCGTTTTAAAGGGATTTATGTGAAGGGATCAAGTGCCCACGCGAGGCTGTACCAAAAACCTAAAAGTCCCCACGCAATTTGTTATTAGTTGGTACTGTTATTCAGCCTGAAAGTTGGGATTAATTAAGCTCGGTTTCTTTAATAGTAGTATGACTCTCACCTAACTTACAGGCAATAAACTACTTGGTCAACTAAGTATGGACAATAATTTGATGTTTTTAATGCTGGCATCACATAATTTATTTTTTTAATGTTGCGTAGGGCGTATTTTCCAATCAAATTTGTTTGATGGATATATATATTTATGCCTAATTAATTATATATAGATATATCTTTCTAATTTTTTTTACCTATTCATTTTTCTCCTTTTTTATTTCATTATCGCTCACTCATTATCTTCATAAATAAGGATATATTTTTTGAAAAATTACATTTTTTTTCATATTTATTGTTTTTAACAATTTTTAAAGAACATTTATGCAATTTGATTAGTTGTTGGTTATATATATGTGTGTGTGTGCGCGCGCGCGCGCGCGCGCGCGCACAGAGCATCG